CGATGGGTGGGTAAAGACCCCCAGCAGGGCTGCGAGAGCCCCGATGCAAAGGTCTGTACAGCACAAACCATCGGATGTCCACCAGGTTTTGGGGCTTCCACACCTGAGTTCCTGTCAGAGGGATGGCCGACCGCCGCGCTGCTCTGGGCACCGCCACCACCCCTGCCGGACACCGGGGTACCAGCTGGCCGTTGCCATCGGGCCCAGCAGTCTTGGTCAAGAAGGAAGCTTTTCTGGAAAGTAAATAAATAAATAACAAGTAGGGCGTCTCCCAGTTCCCTTATACTGTCAAAAGCGTACACTTGATTTGTCTGGAGCCCGCTATTGGGGGGCAACATACATAGGTTAAACTGGATGAAGATGCATTTGACATCTGCAGCAAGATGCTGATTTTAGCCACCCTCTTTAAAGCCCAGCTTAATGACAGGACAGCACCCATAACAAAAGTTGTGTCCTTTCACTGCTTTGACAAAGTTACAGTCATCCTACACAAGCCTCAGAAGGGTAAAGCTCTTACCGGGCCCCCCGCCTTCCTAAGTAAATAAACAAGCACCATGTTTTCCTACTAACTGGGTGGCTAGAAGCCGTTTTAAATTACACTCTTCAGCAAAACAAAGAAATTTACTCAACAGCACTTGGATACTGTTAAGTCATTATTCTTTATTCGGTGCCAGGGTCACACTGTATTAAGGACAAGTTCCCTAATGGTGTTCCCGCCGTTACTGCAAGCTTGCCATGAATATATAAAGTTATACATATTCAACTGATGCTTCGAATTCATTTTACATCAGAACGCCTACCGTTGTAATCAATTACTTATTCATGAGTGGATTATCCCACAGTCTTTGTTGCCATCTAGTGTCCTTTATCCAGGGTTGCAGCCTCTCCGGTGGCCATTTACTTCATCGGGTGGTCGTATCCTTCCTCTTCATCAGCTGTCTGCCAGTTGACCTTCTCCATGGCGCAACAGCAGCTTGCTTGTGTCTTCCTCTTCGGGCATGCTCTACTAATTCTACATCCTCATCTCAGCTATTTCAAGGTTATTTACACAAAGAACTTCTGCTTAAGTTTAGCAACGTATATCACAGAACTAATTGCCAAGACCTTGAAAACAAAGTTAAACAGGAATGTACACTGTGTGCTTGATGGCTTCTGTGATCGCGCTAACCTCATCACATCATCAATATGCCCATGATCCATCTTATGGATCAGAAATTTAGTGTAAAGGTACAAATCAGGTACTTTCTGCTGCAGCTTTTCTCACAAAAAAAAGCAACTAAACTTAATTATTCCTGGGCTGCAGAGCGCATTGGAGCAAGGCCTTGAGCACCCCAGCAGATACTTCTGTCTGTGCTGGCCTTACCAGGAAAAGAAGCAGGAAAGCCACAGCTGCCAGGACTGCTCACCAAATGCACCTGCAAAAGGACAACATTTAGGGTTGTATTTTTGAAACTGCAGGCTCTGCCATTACAAACAACTGCGTTTTCCATTTTAAATATTCATAGGCCAGCGTTTCCCCGTATTTCACAACATTTGCCCATTGCTTCTTGTATTCCAAGGCTTCATCAATTGTCTCCTTTTTTGCTTTTTCAACAGACTGGGAGCTGGGGAAGGAGAGCAATTTAACCTGGAGACGCTGAGCAACTGCCAGATGTAGAGCGCTCCACTTGCACCCCTCATGCAAGGCAAAGACATCTGTTGGAAATACATGAGCAGCGAGGCCATCAGCCTGTTTGTACCCTCACAGAGATGCAGCAACAATCCCCAGCCTTTCCTTGAGTCTCTTCTGAATTACACTTAGGTGTAAGAGAATAGACCTCTCCTACTGCCTCGCCACTCCCACAGTTCTCAGTCTCTATTTTTCTGCTTAGAGGCTGATGCTTCTACAGTTGATTCAGAGTCGTTGACCCTAGTAGGTTCTTTTGTTTTGTTTTGGGGCTTTTAGGACAAAGGAGAAGGAGGGTTTGAGCTTTTTGTTGGCCTCTTTGCAGAGCAGCAGAGATTTCTCTATTAGCACCAGTGTTGCATCACAGGATTTCACTACAGGCTGGTATGGCAGAGCAGTTTAAGGCAGAAGAGCTAGAAAAAACACATGGTGAAGCACTGACCCATAATGCAATTAGCAGCCTTCCCCAGAAGCATTTTTCAATACCCTAGGGTGTCCAGAATTTGCTGACTATTTGATTTGTGCTGCCCCAAATTCCTGACATTGCTTAAGCAAACCACAGGACCAGGAACTAAAAGATTCTGTCTTCTGATCCCTTTTCTACAGCTACTGCCTTTGTTTTCTTAGAGCAAATCAATTTCTTTCCCGCCTCCCTTTTCCTGATCAGAGGAATGCAAGTTTAAGTCTCAGCTCCCAAGCGAGAGGGATTTGTTAATTTTACAGTATGCTATCCAGATGCTGAGTTTAACAGATAGTTGCTCCAAAATAAGGACCCGGATTTTATTTTATTTACAATGATTCAATTAGCAGTCATCTAAGGAATTCTGAAAAAAAAAAAAACACGCTTGGTGTGAATATACTGGCTGACAGAGATTTGTTGTTCTTAATCCAAATGCAACCCTGGCAAGCAGAGATGTGCAATAAAAAACACCCACTCAGTCCAGCCAAGGTGAAGGCCACTGCTCATCCAGTGCTTGGCTGGACGACAGCCTGCATCTATCACCGGAGAGAAGACAAATGCTACTGTCATCCAATCTGAGCTCCACTCAACACTGCTCAGCCATGTTGGTCTTTTTTTTGGTTTGTTTTTTGGTGTTTTTTGTTTTTTTTTTAAAAAAGGTGGATGTTAAAACTCACCTACCAAACCACCTGACAGTGAGAATTATCAGACATGGTACACCAAAGAAAGGGTTTGATTTGATCCTGATGGAGCCCTGTGAATAGGTTTGGTCTCTCCCATGCCCGGTCCTCTGAGGCATCCCAAAAGCACCCCCTACCCCACACAGCCCCTCTGAGCCCGCTGGGAGGTTCTGCGGCACATGGACACCTCCCCACTGAGCACAGCCTCAAGGCCACCACCTCCCTCCTCCCTGCCTTCAGCTTTACTGCCTTGGGAGAGACTGTGTCTGGCAAGTCTGATAAAAAATTAACATAATTAATATTCCCTTGGCTGACTGGATGCTTCAGTTGTCTTAATCCCTTACATTCTACTCCAACATTTAAAAGTTGTTTGGGTTTTTTTTCCTTTCAGTTGAGGTATAGATGTGGCACTTAGAGACATGGTTTAGCGGTGGACTTGGCAGTGTTATGTTTATGTTTGGGCTCAATGATCTTAAAGGTCTTTTCCAACCTAAATGATTTTATGATTTCCAGAAGATGCTGGCTTGGATATTACCCAGCTAAGGAGGCAGAACTCAAAGCAGCTATAAATGTATTTCTGAATCAAGGGAGGGAGGAGTAATTTTATCATTTCTTGGAAGCGATTTGGAAAATAGCATTCCCCATGTCTGGGAACTAAAGTGCCTTAAAAAAAGGCCCTGGAGCAGAGAATGTGTCTTATCTATGTGAAGGGCTATGTAAGTAGATAGCGCTCTCTTATTGTTTTATCGAATATTATTTACTGCCTGGCCGTGGCTTGGCCATCTGCAGGAAATAGACACCGACTCATTTTGTTATGGTCCCATTCCTCCTGAGTCATGAAGCTTGGACTGAAAGACTCACCGAGTTCAGTTTGTTTTCCTGTTTCTAACCACGCTCTCAGTTCTGGGTCAGTCTGGAATGACTAACAGATCTGCCACATCAGCTTCAGCACAGGGTTATCTCCAACCAGCCTTCAAACAAAGAGACGGAGAGGCTTGTTGGAATACCCAGCGTTTAACAGGTCACTGCACAGACAAACGTCTCGAGCTGGATGAGAGGGCAGGGTTTGAACAAACACTGCCCTGAGACAAGATCCGGCAGTAGCGCCTTTTGCTTTGCTCGCAGATTCTCTTTACCTTGCTGTGTTTGTGTGCAGTTCTGTCCTGCAGAGTCTGCGTAACACCCAGTTAACACCCACCACCTTCTGCTTACACATGTGGTTTGCCCTTTGATTTACCTTTAGACGAGAGCAGCTGAACTGGACGGCAAACTCAGGGCATTTTAGGGAATTTGAGCAGCTACGCAGTTAGTACCAAACACTACCTAGTGCCTCGTTCCTCTCTGTCCTGCCTACTGGGTCCTAGCGTGACTTGCCCCTTACTGCACTAAGCTACAGGTCCTCTACAAACAGCACACATGCATCGTGCCCTGTACGGGCATTTAGCAAACGTACAGGAAGGGCCCGAGTCAGTCACTGGTGACTGCAGAGCAGGCTGGCAAATTAAAGCAGAATTCAGTACCAGAGAAAAGACCTTGTGCTTTGCATGCGCAGCTGCACAGAGGTATAAAGAAAGATGTGGTACTAACCCTGCCTTGCACAGCTAAGCAAAAGCTGGGAGAAGTGCAGAGAAGGACCAAAGCGCAACCAGCAAAGAGCACCCTGTCCCCTTCCCGGTTTGGTGCCGATCAGGACCAACCCTGGATCAGCAATAGCAGGTTAACTCCCTCACCCAGTGCTGTGCCAAGAAAGGCTGAGAAGACCTGGGCAGGGCTTGGCCTGCACCACTTACTAATCCTATTACCAATATCTCCCTTTCAGAGAGAAACTTTTTACCAATACAGGTCCTCTTAACTTGCCATATTGTTTCCCACCTGATTTCAGCAAGCTCTGGAAGAGGTTCTGCTGCCAGACCTCCATGCGCTGTCTTTTACTCAACCTTGTCTAACAAGTCCATTCCCCAAGCTCAAGAGTGGGACACTTTAAAATGTTACTCACCAGGGAAGTTTCACCAGAGGAAAGGCATGGGGGCTGCTAGGTTTCACAGAGGCTTTTATTGTCTCATTAAGTTCTCCTTAATGAGAGCTTCCTCACCTGCTGCAGCCTCCCTCCCATTCATTTGCACCCACCATCATGCTGGTGGTACTTTCAAGGCTGAACCAGGTCCCAGGTTGAAAATACCTTCTCCTCTTGAGCCACCACTCGCCACCTTCTCCTTGGCTGGTTTTCTCCCTGATATCTCTGCAGCTTCACACAGCTCCAGAGCTACCTGCTGTACTCTCTCCTCCAAAGCAAGGCAGCGACAGCTCTTGTTCAGATCCCTGACTTACATACTTGCTAAAATGGCGTAGAACTGCCAGGCATAGCGATAATCCTCAGCTGTTGAGGACCTACTGCGGTGCTGCCGTTCATCCCAGGCTTTAACTCCTTGTGATTCTTGATACACCTTCGTCTACGATCCTGCCTTTATTACAGGAGCAGCTGATTCACGAGACCCAGTTACACCATGGTTGTCCCTCAGCACGATTAAAACACCACAGTTATTTTCTCTTGCACTAAAGGTATAAGAATATCTTTCCATCCTGCTAGACCCAAGCATGACCGAAACTGTAACGCTGATCCAGTGCCACTGAGGCCTGCGATTGAATCAGGACAGGGCACAACCAGGCTGTAACTGGATTCTGCCAATGCTCTTTTCAGCATACAGGAGTCTGTCTCACCCAAACTGGCCCCGTGACATAATTCGTCCCATCTACACCAGTTAGTGAAGCGCCACCATCCCTCACTACCTTCCTTGGAGGGCAGCTCTGGACCACAGCTCTGGCCACCACAGCTCCTGCGCTCAGAAGGCACAGCCTGTGACAAAACCTCTAACCAAAAATCACCTGCCGAGTCTTTCTGAGCTCTTCACCAAGATGTTTTGGTGATTCCATATTTACCTTGCCCAACACCAAAATATTAATGACCTCATCAGACTGCTCACCCTGGTCTGCTAACTCATACCAAACACTCTGTCTATCACAACTTGCTTATTCTCTCAGCTAAGGCTCCCCCGCGCGCAGCCTGCGCAGCCCCGCACGCCCCGATGGCTCTGCCCGCTCTTTGTATGAGCAGGGCTGTCGGATCGGCCCTTCTGCGGCACCAATGAGGGCCTCACGCCAGCGGGGCCGCGGGTTCAGCACCTTTCTCAAGAACTGCAAATACTGGGGGGGTTCAGGCTGTTCCACCCATCCGATCACATCTGAAAGAGCCTTGAGAGCAAAGCTGCGTCAGAGGAGGGCACAGCTGCCAAAAGAGTCGTTCAACCTCTCCAGATTGTTTGCATGCCTTTGGAAAAAATGCTTCCCTTTTTTTTTTTTTTTTTTCTCATTCAAGCTTTTCTAGATAAGCTCATGACAAACACAAGTACCAGAGAGAATGAACAGCCCGCCTGCTAGTTGGGAATGAGGGACTATCACAATGAGAGCCTGAACATGAGGGAACTCGATACAACGGGAGATTTATCTTGGAACCAGTTCCCCTTGGCAGCCTGACCCCGTATTGATGTCAGCACGGCTTCTCACTGCACAAAGGCTAGGGATCAGACCTAGGATGCAGACATGTCTCTATCTCAAGCACATCCTGTAAGACGGCCATTACTGTCGATAAAACGTTTGCTTCCCCCTTTTTTTCTCCCAGCAGTATTTTGGTGAGTGTTCTCAGGAATGGCTGGCTGAAAGCTTTCTCAACCCCTCTCCCCATCATGCAGGGGGACGCTCAGCTTTGTAAAGACAGGCTGTTTTGCTTAGGCCCGATAACGTGCTGCTCAGAGGGATATTGCAAGAGAGAGCGGGAGAGCAGCCTGGGCTTGGGTCTGGAGTCAAACAGGATTATCTGGTGTGTGAAAAGGCGTGCAGAGCTTGGCTGGGATGCCAGGGAGGAGATGCTGCTCTGTAGGCTACTTACCTACTGGTATTCTAGGAGTAATTCCCAGACACTCTGCTTCATTTAAATCATGTCATCCCATGGGAAACCTGTACCCACCTTGGATGTCCAAATGACCCAGAAAATTGCTTTTTTTTCCTACCACAAACCAGGTCAATACTTGAAGACCTGACCTTCAAGGGTGCTGGGGTGAGGAGAGAGGCACGACAGAAGTCCGAGATCTTGGTCCAGCGCTCTCAGAACCTCTTGTCACAAGGAATTACGTGGGCTCTGCAAACAGATAAGGAAAACCAGAAAGAGCAAACGCTGGTCTGCACAACCTTGACACTGCAATCGATGCTGTAGTTTACCAGCAGGAGCAAGTAAATAGCCCCGGAGTTGCATGCTGCATAGCAAACATTGCAGTTTTATCTGGATGACAGGCAGCGATTTGTGGCAAAGGGTAAATCTCTCCGTTCGCTCATGCTTGATGTATGGATGCTCTCGTTGCATTCCCTGTTCTCAGTGGATTTATGCATGAATTTAAGGTTAAATACATGCATGCCTGGAGGATGACAGCCTTCATTTAATATTGCATGGCCCAGCAGAGCCATAATTAATCCCTAACATGTTCAAGTGACAGCTCTCACTCAATGATGTTGTCCACGCAGAATAGTGAGGTATATGTAAATTTGTACGTTCAGGCTGGGACTCAAGAGATTTTCCAGCCATCAGAGCAGGTTTCTGGCAGGATGAATGGGACAAACGGTAGCTTGGGAGATTTTACGGGCAGATTGGGCAGGCCAGGAGAGGGAGGTGTGATACTGTCACCTGCTCATTCAGCTGCCTAGGATGGGCTGGGAATGACAGGGCCTCATCGCTGCCCTTCCCTTTTACGTGACTGACATTTTCTACTTATGAAAATTAAAGCAGTTCGGAGGCTGATCACGCCTGGGAAGAAAACCCCCACCGTCTTCATCCTGAGCAGTTTGCAAATGTGAAACTCGAGCAGATCCAACTCGGCCACACTTGCTCTTCTTTCTTCTCCAAACCACTGGTTCTCAAATGTACCAAAAGGCCTGGAACCCACCGATAAGCCAGAACTGCAGCCTGGTACTCGGCTCCACGTGGACGGAGTTCCCCAGGCAAGTCCTCGCACCCAGGTCGAGTCCTGCCTACTTCAGTCATGAGAGCTGCTGCTAATGCCAATGGTTTGTTTCCAAATTCTGGGTATTTAATCTTTTTATCTAGTTGTTCCGTTACCAAAGAAGAGCATGCTCAGTCAGGTTCGATCACCAAGTGTTTTATCACACAGGCAACACAACCGGCTGGGTACATTTTACATCAATTTAATGGGTTTAATATTCATTCACTGACGGTAGAAAATGTCAGATGTCTGCTATTTAAGGGTCAGAAGCGTGTCAGACGCGCACACAGACAAGCTTTGCTCAGAAATAGTTATGCTGTACATTGGACCTCAGTAACTGGAGGCACAACCAATAATTTGTCCTGCCACACATCCAGGAAGAGAAAAGATGAGTGTCTTACTGGCTAGTCCAGACCCTACAGAAGGACATACAGCCCTTTCAGTTAACCCTACGCACTTGTGGGAGTGCCTCTGGATGGAGCAGTTCAAGCTGCTTTTTTTTCAATTATTGTCTCCATTAAGCCTGGAGGCTGGAATGATACATGGGGAAGGAGCTTTCTATTTTCTTTACTGATTTAATTACAATGGACTTAGGGAACAGCTCTCCCCTCCCTCTTCTTCTCCTCTGGATGGCTGAAATGCCAGCACAGCCACACACCTCCAGCACAGCCATACACCTCTGGCACAGCTACACACCTCTGGTATACCTCCGGCACAGCCATACACCTCCAGCACAGCCATACACCCCCGGCACACCTCTGGCACAGCCACACACCTCCGGCACGCCTCCGGCACAGCCATACCCCTCTGGCACAGCCACACACCTCTGGCACAGCCACACACCTCCGGCACGCCTCCGGCACAGCCATACCCCTCTGGCACAGCCACACACCTCTGGCACAGCCACACACCTCCGGCACGCCTCCGGCACAGCCATACCCCTCTGGCACAGCCACACACCTCTGGCACAGCCACACACCTCCGGCACGCCTCCGGCACAGCCATACCCCTCTGGCACAGCCACACACCTCTGGCACAGCCACACACCTCCGGCACGCCTCCGGCACAGCCATACCCCTCTGGCACAGCCACACACCTCTGGCACAGCCACACACCTCCGGCACGCCTCCGGCACAGCCATACCCCTCTGGCACAGCCACACACCTCTGGCACAGCCACACACCTCCGGCACGCCTCCGGCACAGCCATACCCCTCTGGCACAGCCACACACCTCTGGCACAGCCACACACCTCCGGCACAGCCACACACCTCCAGCACAGCCATACACCTCTGGCACAGCTACACACCTCTGGTATACCTCCGGCACAGCCATACACCTCCAGCACAGCCGTACACCCCCGGCACACCACTGTCACAGCCATACACTGCCAGTGCAGCTGCACCCAGTTTTGCCCCCTGGTGGAACCCCAACAAAGATGAGCTGCCAGGAGGGTCTGGCAAGGGCAGGGACCAAACTCTCCCCTCGGCTCACCCCATGCAAACGCACCCCAGGCAGGTGAACCCCATGGAGAGGCAAACAGGACTTGGCCCTGACTGCCTCCCCCCGGCATGCACAGGGTGACCCTGGGCTGGGCGCCAGCGGGGAGAGCACCCGAGAGCTGCCTCCTTGGGAGCCCCAGAGGAGAGGGAAGTAAAGGCAGCTCTGCCAGCGGAGTCACAAACCCGGTGAATTTTTATAAAGGGTCGTTAAAAGATGGAAGCTGTAACAGATCAGCAGTGCTAAGGCAACCAAACCTGACAGCTAGCAGCCACGATCTGGGCTGTGGTTTCCCGCTCAGCACCTCCAGCCAGGGAGACATTTTGCCAGGTATGATGGACCATAGGGGATGGAAGAGGTACAGGGAAACAAGGCAGCCAAGGAAGTAGCACGAGGAGCAAAATGAACTTCGACTTCCCCACCCTGCTGCAGCTCCAGAGAGTTGTTTAATTCCCGTAGTATATTAAGTTGTAGCAGGTTTGAGATGCCGCCAAAACACCAAATCACACTTTGTTAGCATGCACAGCCCTTTGCAGCCCCCGGTCCTGCGATTACAGCTCTGAAATGAGGGGAAATTGCAGAGAAGAGAACTGCCGCCTCCAACGGTGCTGGCAATGCAGCACACCAGTCCCGCTCAGACCCTCGGGACCTCTGCTTCCGAAGCGGACCTGGACTTTCTCCTGCTGGTCAGGCTGCCCAGGACCGACTCCTCACTGAAGGCCCCTTCGAAGGTTGACAGGATGGACTGGCGAAACTTCTCCTTGAAATCCGGGCCCACAAATACGTACAGGATGGGGTTGATGCAGCTGTTGAAGAAAGCAAGGCTGGAAACCAAGGGAATCCCTATGTAAAGGGCCATTTTCATCTCATGACTGGAAGAGTTTTTGGATATTTCCAGCAAGGAGAAGACGTGATAGGGGAAATAACAGAGGAAAAACGAGACTGTGACAGCAATGATAATTCTGTATGGCTTCGCAGAGTTGGCTAACTGCCGCCTTTTCAGCTTGACAGCAACGATGCTGTAGCAGATGAGAATCATCGTGAAAGGGATGAGGAACCCGCATAAAAACCGCGTTATGATCATCGCTTTATGCCGCATCCTCCACAGCTTCCGTGTCGCCTCGGACGTGTAGTCATCGGACAGTGCAAAATTATTATAGCAGCTGGTGATGTTCCTGGAACTGACCACAGTGTCCCGAAAGACAAGGTACGGGGAGCTGAGGAGGAGAGCCAGGACCCACGTCCCCAGCGCGATCCTGGCTGCCAGCTCTGGACTTCTGCGGTTGTGAGACCAGACGGGAAAGGCCACAGAAACGCAGCGGTCCATGCTGATGACTGTCAGGAGGAAGACGCTGGCAAACATGTTGAGGAATGCGATGGTGCTGTTCAGCTTGCACAGGAGCTTCCCAAACGGCCAGTGGAAGCCCAGGGCGGTGTAGGCGATGCTGAGAGGCAGGAAAAAGGTGAAGATGAAGTCAGCAATGGCCAGGTTGAGGAACCAGACGGAGTTCACAGTCTTCTTCATCTTGAAGCCCGCAATCCAGATGACGAGGCCGTTCCCAGTCACCCCCAGCAAACAGGCGATGCTGTACACCACCATGGAGAGGACGTGCATGCTCTTCTGGAGGCCGGAGTAGGAGTCATGGGCGGTGGCATTCTCAGGCTGCACAACAGGGGAGCTGGCAGGGAAGGGGGAAGGGGAAGAAGAGACGCTCTCCATCACCAGCAAGCCGGAGCCCTGAAACCGTAAGAGCACACACCGCTATTATCTGCGGCTCCTCTGGCTCAAGAGAGGTGAAAATCTTTGCTAGCAATGCTACACAAAATGTATATGCAAGGCCAGATTACATAACTGAATATATAATTAATATAAAGTCCTTCTCTATAGCACCTGAAGGTGATGGAAACCACCGATGCCAGAGAAACCGACCCAGGTTTTGCGGTTGGTGTCGGCGCTGTCAGAACACACCTCCGCGAATGGCCCGCAACAGCACTCCCACACCGGCCAGCAGCAGAAGCATGGAAACCCAAATCCCACAGCCACAACGAGTCCTCTTTGGATGGCCAACACCAAATTAAGACAGCAAAAACCATCGAGGCTGATAAAGATTAGGTTAAAGGACCGTTTCAACAGGTACCTTCCAGGGAGGGGCACTCTAGCAGGCAGAGCAGTACCCGAGGTGTATCCGGGTGTAACCGTCAGCCCTTTACCCACAAACCACCCTCCCGGTGAGCCCGTGGTTCTCCTCGCCCCAGCACCCCGCCTCAGCGGGTCCCGGCAGGACTCACCGCCGCGCCGCGCTCCTTCGCCGCTCTGCCCGCAGCGGGTGGTCTCGCCTCCTGGCTGACTCCCCCTTTGAGACGCCGCTCCTCTCCGGGGGGTGACTCATGCTGCCTCGTCCCATTTTCCCATGCCTTGGGATCATGAGGAATTTAGTAACATCCCTTATTCCCTAATCTTGTTCCTCAATTTGCGGCGCATTGATTTAACCCCTCAAGCCCCGGCAGCCGCAGGCTCCCTCGGGCCAGTTGGCCAAGCCTAGGTTTGAAGCACGAAGAAAACGCGGCTCCTCTCCCGCCTGCGCCACTCATCCCCCCCGGGGT